TTTAAACAATTTCTTAGTGTTTTCTTCCTCAGTGCTTCAACTGCTATTTTTCATACCATTTCATATTTTTTTTTAACAATTTCTTAGTGTTTTCTTCCTCAGTGCTTCAACTGTTCATTCTTTTATTTTTCTCTTTCATGGATGCCATGTTCTTTAGAAGCTTGTTTAGACCAAGTTAATGGCCTTTTAGGCTTCCTCCATGTGAATAGGAGTTCACTTTTTGAATAAGAAGTGTATGTCACGGGGCGGGGGGATTCAGGATTTTAGAGATGCTTAGGTGGGGGATGGCCAAAAACAGGTTGGGAACCACTGATCTAGAGAGAAAGGATCAGGTACAGTTAATTTTTTTTCAGATCATTTGTACTTTTAAACTTTCCTAAAAATATCACGTATCAAAATAAATATTAACCATAAAAAATAGAAATGTGAGATATTTAAGAAAATGTGTAATATACATATATGAAAAATAGCATGTAAAATGATATTAAAAAGTCTACTTATGTTTACAATGATAAAATATGCCTTCTCTAACATTTTATAAATCATATTCCACAAAACAATGTACTTTCTCAAGAAGTTATAGAAACATCTCTTAAAAAAGAGACTCTATGGGTAAATATATTTAGGAAACAAATGTAAAGTTAAAAACTGAATTAAATTCAAAGCCCAAATCTCATGAGAATAATTTGTAGAGTTTGAGCGTCTCATGTGTTTGAATTTTGTGCAGTTGTTATTTAGAAACAAGGGGCTGGGTAAGTTACTTCTCCTCCTTACGCCTCCATGGCTGGAAGCGTAAAACTATCTTCTGAGGCTGCTGATGGTGTGAATAAGACACTACACACTGTGCAGCAGCAGCTACCATCTGGCACTGTGATTAGCAGCCCTGAAGGGCCATCTGACCCTCTGAGTGCACATTCCTTCACTTCAAGCACAGAGCTCTAACTGGAATTGCTGAGTCTCACTGGGAGTTTCCAGAAGACACAACATTTGACTGAACTGGCTTTAATCAACTGTACACATTTCACCCATCAACACCGTTGGCCAACACAGGCATGGCTTCTTAGCTTTTCCTGTTTATGACAGGGGGTCTCAGAAAACTAATGGATGTGGATAAGAAAAGTCTCCAAAGTGTTCCCGACGAAGACCATTCCTAAAGATTTCCAACGGTGTACTTCATTTACCACTGTAGTAACTGTTCTCCACAATAATTCATCCAGGATCTAATTGTGTACACATCAGTCTTCCATTCTAATGACCCATGTTTTCAGTTTTCATCTGCTACACTAGTTTCAACTAAAACCTGTTTTTTGAAGGTGACCATTCTTTCGACATTTTCCCACAGCCCTTCATGCGGCCCCTGCAAAAACTACACACACACACAAAAACCCTACAAAAAAAATCAATCGTATTCTGTCCTCAAAATTACTTCTCTAGCATCTCTAATCTGTTCAAGTATTTGTTTCCCATCAGTAAACAAGGGATTAAATCCTGTCTAAAGGAAGGATTTCTGAAAATAAAAAGAATGATGCACAGAAAATTTTCAAAATATATTATCACTGAGGGAATAAACAAAAAGCTTATTTGTGGTCCCAAAAAGGAACCACACTGACTTCATAGTTAAAGTTTAGAGGACTCAATATTTAAGTTCTTCTAATATTTCTTAGGTTGATTTCACTCTTAGAAATGGCTTATAATTAGAAGATTAGGTTCAAATTTTGACTGCTACCTTTTTGGCAGCTGACCTTTAGCAAATTACTCAACCACCTTGAGCCTCAGTTTCCTCACCTACAAAATGGAAATAATAAAACTCAGATCAATTCACTATGTGTAAAGTACTTAGAATAATTCATGATACAGAGTATACTATAATTCAAAAGGACTATCCATAAGACATTGGCTTCCACTTGCAGACCCCGTTACCATATACTTAATGACAGAGACAAGCCCAGTCCACCTGCTGAAGATGAGCAGTGCCCTATGTTGGCTGGCACAGACAAGCTTCCACGCCTCTCATGAAGTCTGACTGCAGTTCCTGCTCTTAAGTTCCATTTTATTCAAAATCAATGCTATTGTGGCCATCAATAATACTAAAGTAATATCAATCCAAGAGAATAAAGTTTGAAGTGGCATATTCATTCCATTGCTTCAAACCAGCAGCTTAGAAAGATACAGTACTATCTTCCCAACAGAATTAAAGCACATAGGGTTTATAATTTTCTCTATTTACAAAATATTTTATGGGGACCTGGAGTGTCAGGGCAGGAGGGCATCTATGCCTCCATGTATTACCTGAATGAAACATGTATTCCTTCCCAGATAGTTTTTTCCAGGTCCTACCATGTGGCAGGCATTCATCAAACACCAGAGAAATACTCCATAAATACTGAGTTTACCAGAGGAGTAAAGGATTTCATCTCCTTGTGACTCAGATCAATAAATAGCATTTCAATCATAAGAAATAAAATAGTATTTAATCTCTAGTTTTCTTCACTTGGCATAAATTGACATTTCTACAGGAAAAAAAAAAGTAGTCAATGAACTTTCCTTTGAAGTACCAGAAATATACCTCAACCAGGCTTCTTCTTTACATCAATACCTCTTTTTGTCTCCATCTGTTTGTCATTGTCTTTTTTCAAAATAACAGGCAACAAACAAATAGTAGTACTTTCCATTTTGACTTTACTATTATTAACATTTTTAACAGCTCAATAAATAAACTACAGCATAACCCAAGAAGATTTGGTTAATTTATTATGTGTAATCAATTTAAATTAAGATTATATAAAGCACTCCTAGTATTCTAAATCTATAAATTCTTCACAGAATTCACATACGCTAATACCGAACATATGGAAGCCATTCCAATTAACTTGATATGCCCAAGGTATGTTCACCTGTAGCTTTTAATAAAACTAAAAATGTAATCTATAGCCAATTTTTGGTGTCCAATTTTAATATTACCCTGCATGTACATTCTGTAAGCTTTAATAAATTTTAGTAGACAATAGTACAAATTAAAAATAAATAAAATGTGTGAATTTGCTTCTACTTGAGGTTAAGAACAAAGTAGACAAGACAGGATATGGACACACCAACCGGAGACACAGAATAGAAAAGCCATGAGAATATAGGACATTCAAAGGTCACAAAACAGCAAGTACTGTCATTTCCAGAGTTTAAAAAACTAAACCTATGAGTTTAAACACAAAATGTACTATCAAACAGTGCTAGCTAAACTTATTAAGAACAATGATTAACATCAATTGATCACTTACTATACACTGAAACACAGTTCCTAGTGTTTTAGAACTAATTGAACTCTCACAACCACCATAAGAGATAAGTGACATTACTAGTCCCACTTTACAAACCATGAAGAGATTAATCTGTCCAACAAAACCAAAGTGACAGAAACAGGATTCACACCTAAGTGATCTGGCTGCAGAACTCACTCTCCTAACCATTCTGTTCTTCTGCCAAAGAGAGCAGAAAATGCTTTTCAGGCTACAAGTTCAATCCTAGTTACACAGACTCATCGCGTCTCACTACACACTTGTAAGCTCTTGTCCACAATGTCTATGTGTGCACCAGTGCCATAAGCGCAGGACATTACTACAGAATTAACAGAAGCGGAGAAGAGGAAAAAAACATGTTTTGTTAACTGCCTGATAACAATAGCTTTTTAAACTAGCAGAAACAATCATCTTTTGGTGAAGATTTATTTGTCCTCAGTTGTCGAGGTTTCATCTCCTTGTGACCAGGCTACGAAAGTAGCACTACTTAATGCCAATGCAACCCTAAGTGCAAGTGTGGGAACCAAAACTGCATGGCAACACAAAAATGCATGTCACCTAATTGAATCAGAATCTAGAATCTAATACTTAAGATCCTAATAAAATGTTTTTAATACATCTAAATATACTGAAGAGGAACTCACAAGCTTGCCTCAAAGTATCTTTAAACTCAGATGACAAAAAAAAAAAGCTATAAGATTAAAAGATACTATCAGTGAGGATTTTTTTACCCCCAACTTTTTAGCTACTATTTTATCTACAGGGAGAAAAGAGTGATTGAGATTCGGTCAATGAGAGAGCTTAAACAAAACGAGGTGGGACGCTCAGAAAAGCAGTGTATCAGCATCCAGTGAGAATACCTTTTAGGTCTGGTGTTGGTTCCATGAGCTCCACAAAGCAATTCAATGCACATGCTGCAACATAAGCTGACCACAGGGGTCATTTGATAGCCCTCTCGAGGCAATATGTTAAAAAAAATCAAAACAACAAAAAACAACAACCCTTCCTAACAATAAGTTTAATCAATTGGCAATAAAACCTAGGTTATTTAAAAAAAAATAAGTCAAACATTTTTTACACAAATAAAAAGTCAAAAGTATTCACTCGACAAAAGGAAACTAGGCAAATAAAACCTCCTTAAAAACAGTATTTAAAGTAGATAGTTAGGTCTTTATTAATTAAACTAGAAAAACAAGAGGTAGAAAGAAAAACAAAAACCAGACACAATATACTTTAAAGTAAAATGTCTAGAAAACTTGTGATCAACACAGAATGTTGATGAAACCAAACTGAGGCTAGTTAAAAGCCTTCTTTTTCTGTTTACTAATTCTACAAATGATTTGACATACATGCAAACTTATTTATTTGACTGTTCTCATATAAATCTCAAACATTTTAGATTTCCCAAAGTTTTAGTTACATACTTTTATATATACAACATTACAGTTTGACTAATTCCCAAATTGGAAGCTCCTCGATTATAAAGACCAAAGTAAGTTAACAGACGGACTGAGTGATAATTTAGTTGGCTAAATGAAAAATGATAATTAGCAGGGCAAAATCATGACACCACCTTTAAAATGTTCATGCTTCTGACATGAAATAATGTGTAGTGCTTTATACACAAAAGACCTGATATTTTATTAGAATGCAAAAGTTTAATTAAATTATTCACAGAAAGACTTGCCTCCATTATTAAAAACTTACCTTCTTTTTATCCCTCATTGAGCCTTTGCCCCGGACCATAATTTTACATCCCGTTTCTGCTTCAAGCTGTTTAGCTGTAAGTCCTCTAGGTCCAAGGATTCTCCCAACAAAATTAAACTGGGGGGAAAAAAAGTCATCATACATTATTCTCTTGCTTGAATTTATAGATATTAAAATTATTTTAAAATATATATTTACTTGCTCAAATGAAATACTTTTTAATAGTAAGTTGAAATAAATTAAGAGTCCTTATAAATTTCTTGCCAAGTTTGGGGGAGGGGTGTTATAATAGCTCATTGTTTAGCAATAAATTTTCATATGTATTAATACAAATTATAAATTAGGAACAATACATTTGCCTGAAAAAGGTACTACACTGAACTGTCCATTAACATGTAATCTAAAGCAAAGCATATAACAAAATCTTAGATACCACACAAGAATGCGAATGTCTTTTACAAAACTCTGTAATGATGGTGTTCAGGGAACTGTTCATTATGTTAAATAATATTTGTTGTTGTTTTTTTAACTAAAATCCTTGGGGAAAATTCTTATTACTTATCTAACGAGCTATACTTTCTCTCAAGCAACTGTTCAGAGACCATATTTTTGGGCTGCCTGTCAGAACTCTACTCTGGTGGCCAAATTTGGATTCCACCCTGTACTAAACATTTAAGTCTTGAAAGTAAGTGCTTTTTCATCACATTCCTTACAAGTTTTATACCTATACACTTATTTTCTTTTTCCCATTTCTACCTTTAACTTATACTATTTTTGCAAGGAGGCTTAACTCTTTTCATGGACAGGGGAGTGATAAAAATAACTGCATAAATAAAGAATTAGCATCCCTCAACAGAAACTTCTAGCCTTCATATACAGAAGTTTATCTTTCAAAGGGAGAGTGGAGGAAGCAAGACATAGATTAACTCTGAAAACTGAAAAGTAAATTTTCCTCACTCACATATAGTCTGCATATGAGATAAAATACCATCACTTCCACAAAAATCCAAAGGTAATGATTCGTATGCATACAGCTTCCTATTTTTTCCTTGCTTATGAGCCACTGCTGGCATGTCATTACATAAAAGTCATATGCTAGAAGTCACTGCTCTCAAGGCTTAAGCTAGGGCACTTCTTCAGTCTTCTGTGCCTCAATGGCTCTTACTCTGCTCACTAAGTTGCTGACCAGCATCCCCACATCCTAAGTGACTCACAAATGAAAGATGGGTAGTGCATGAGGACAGCTGGAAGAAAGTCCTCTCTTCCCTCAGATTTTGATACAACTTTTTCCATCCGAGGTTGAGACTGTCCTCTAAGCACTTGATCTAGCTCTACAAGCTCCCCAATTCTGAAATGTGCCTGATCCACCTCTACATACTATCCCTTATCCGTACTAGTTCCCCAGCAGAGAGTACTTCACCTCTTTACCCGACCTAAAGCCCTGCACTCTCATCCACCTATCTGTTGCTCCCTTGAAGGTACCCCTTTTCCTCTTCTTGCCACTTTTAAGATTTCCTCTTCTGCTGGAACCATGGAATTAGAATTATATAGAAAAAGACTTCACCACAGCTAAATAATCCTTACAGTTATTACTTATTAATAAGCAATGTTTTAAAAGCAGTCAAAACCAACATATTACATCTATAACACAAAATTTTTGTAACCTTAAAAATGAACCAATCTTTATTACCCAAGAACAACAAAGCTCAAGTGTATTAAAGTGCATACCACTGGGATTCTAATACTGTAGAAACTGTCAAGGTCATCCTCAGAATATTGTAAGCAGAGAATGAAAAAATTAATCATAGCAGCTGCTTTGTCTACTGCAGCCAATTTAATATCATTTGCCTTGCATTAAAATTCATTGTGTTGATTTATCATGCTAGTTCTGCAGCTTCATGCAATTAAAACAATGTCACAACACATTCAAAAATAATAATTTCATACAGCCGGGGCTAACTGCAACTTTAAACACCCAAAGAAGAACAAGAGAGAAAAAAGACATTCATTAACCCTACATTTTAAGTACAGACCTTTCCATGACTCAACTACATTTATGCCTAAAGAAGAGGTTAACAACAATTATGTCTAATGTTATTCACTGATGCTCACTTCATTTTAAATAAAATTAATAGATTTCTACCAATGACAATATAAAGAAGCATTTATGGTAAGTTTTTCCATTAACCTTTTAAGATATCTACAATTAAGATAAAACTTCCTGTGACAGGCTATCAAAACAGGTAACTAATAAAAAAATGAATCACCAAAAGCATTTCAGTGAAACACTTTTAAGAAATGTTAAAGAGTAACTTCTGCTTAAAACTTTGGAATATTCTATAAAAATATGCATTTCTTTGGGTTATTTTCTACAGATTAGTAATGTTTCTAAATAGTGTCTAGTATTTCTAAAGTGAATTTTAGTTAGATACCTTACAAACCTTACATTGTATCACTTAAGTGACATAACAGGTGTGAAACACACACATGTATATTTGTTGATGAAGCCTTTTACTTTAGCAAATGAGAAAAAAAAAAAAAAATGAACCACTTCAAGTGTAATCAACACCAGCGAGCCTATCTTATGGAAGTGTGTAAGATGAGAGAAGAGTTATGACTATTTAGCAGTACCGCAGGTCCTCAAATAACATCATCTTGTTCAATGTTGTTTCTCTGTAACATTGATGAGATACCTTAGGAACTTAACACTTTTTTATATCAATTAACCTATGGTAAAAATTGGTTTCATTATTCCTTATTTTGCTTAAAGTCACAGAACCTATGGATAACATTAAGTGAGGACTATTCAACTGTTTTTAATTAAAAGTACCAGAATGAATATATCAAAATGTCTTCATCTGGGGGAGACAAATGTCTTATTCCTTTTCTACCTTCAAATTAATTCTAGATAAGCAACCAAATATGTCTTCTTATGCTACCTAATAATTAGTATAGGAATCATTTTGCAAAACTGTTCACATATGTGAACTTTATACACATCTTCTGTTGGCTATGCAAGAAGAGGCACTTTCACCAGCAGCTTAAAGAGGGAAAACAGTAACCAGTAATAACCAGAACCAGACATCTGTGAATTTAGAGATCCTAAATCATGACAAATCATCTTTTGAGTATAAACATAATTGGGAAAGAATCTAAAACCATTTTTTTTTAAAATCAGGTGAATAAGAAAATATCCTCTAGTCTAGAAGCTATATAACAAGTCTTTGGGGAAAAATTACCTAGACAACTAAAATAAAAATATGAGGCAATAAAAGCCAACAAGAGTTTTATGACATAAGTATATGACAATATATATGACAGTTCAAGATACAAACTCTTATTACACACAAAACCCTTTAAAAGATTCTAAACTTCTTTTCAAACCTTTATTTTGCTACCACCTTTCTGTTCAGACACATAAGCAATTCACTGTTCTCTAAAAATGGCAGGTACTTTGAAATTTTCTCTGTAACACCTTCTTCTATCCTTCCTTCTCACCAACCATGTCAAATGTCTCTCATTACACAATACTGAGCTCACGTTTCTTCTGTGATTTCCTTGTTATTCTCACCTCTAGACCAGTGGTCGCCAACCTTTCGGACCTCACAGATCATCAGTGGTCCGCGGACCACCGGTTGGCGAGCTCTGCTCTAGACAGTTGTACTTTTTCTTCTCCTCCTCCACAGTGACCATCTCAGAGTGCTTTGTAACCAGCCTCAATGAGCCCCTATCACATGGAATGCCATGATCTGTGGCAGGCCATTCCCAAGTCAGGAACCAGCACCTGATTTTTTAATTTATTTTTACACTTCAAGAAACTAATACTTGTTCAAATTGTTGAATGATACAACTTAAAAAATGTCCACAGAAATCATAAGTTTTTTTTTCATCCACTAGTAATAAATCACTCACTAATAAGTCATATGCAGCACAAGAACTCTTAATACATTTCAGAAATTTCTCAAATGGTTAAGCCTGGTTGACTGATCTCAGGATAAATTCCAAATGACAGATAATGTCATAAAAACAAAACTATGATTTCCACTTTCTATTTCAATACAGAAATATCATGAGTGCAAAGACCATGTCACTCTCTATTTCTTAGGTGTTGAGTATGTAGAAGTATGTTTTATTAATGAGTGTTCTGGTATGAGCCAGGTTCGAATGCTTGGCAACTCTACATGCATTAAGTCCCTTAATGAGGGTAACCCTGGAAGGCAGTTACCATTATAGTCTATATTTAATACATGACAGGTTACAAAAGTAGCCCAAATCCTAGAACACCTAGATTAATCAGCATAGTATAATGCCTTTCTCCTAAAGACCTTAAACATATACCCTGGTCGCATCAGAACTCACATTCAGTTTTCTCATTCTTGTTGCTCATTCAAAATGTTTAGTAGAACGCTTATAAAAACTTTTGCCTGGCCTCCTGCAGCCGATCAAATGATTTTCTCTCATCACTGATGTTCCTATTTCTCTTAGAAAAAAGAACTAGAAAAAAAAAACAACCCTCTTCAGATTCAGTTATTGTTTTTGTAATGTCTTCTTCACCTACATCCCATAACATATCATTACACTATTTCTATGTAACCACACCATGCCATTCTCAGTATTTTCATCTGTCTTTATGGATTGGGATCACTGTCTTCATAAGCATCATATACATCCTTTTTATCTTAATTGAGCCATTTATATGAATATTCCAATGACAAATATGTATAACTTCAAAAAAGAGAAAGGAGAATATGATTATTTAATTCAAGATTGAGCTTACAAGTGTCACCTCAGACCCAGAATATAAGTCAAGGAGATGAAATATGTGTTCTGACCATTCATTAAATAGTGCGTAAGCTCTCTGAAATTGATTTCCTAAGTTTTGCTGCATAAATATTACCTGCCTCACACATTGCTACAAAATTAATTCAGCTCTGAAAGTGATATGTTTTGGGCACAAATTTTAGTCCTACCTGACCTCCTGATAACTGTCTTATGTTACCCTCGTTCAATACAACTCAGTTTTCAGTGGCTTTTAACTAAATGACATTCTGTTACTATGGTATGCTTATCATCTCTTCCTCTTGATTCCTCTACAATGTTAATTATAAAACCATCTT